ATGCAGAGCCTATTTTTGTCATTTCCCGGTAAATATGAGGCCGCTGCAGATTTAGATGTATTGGTTCCTACTCTTTTTTTATGCTCTACAAGATGGCAATGTCCATTTTGCTCTATCTCTGTGCGTCGCTCCCGGTAACATTAACCGTAGAGTCTATATCTTTTTTTTTAGGAGACTTCAAACTGGTGCAATCTCATCCGCCAGGTTTGCGATACATGGTGACATATAAGTGACCATTCCCAATAATTGTTGCAGCTCCGTAACATTAGTTGGGCTCGGCAGTCGTGCTCCTCTTCAGTTTTTTCAAACACAACTACATCATCAGCAATGCCAATGGTACCAGGACAGTTTTCGAGGATCTGATCCAATCTTTTGCTGGAAAACATCTTGGGACATAACCAAAATAGATTCTGAGATATCTGTAGCGGCCAAAAGGAGTGTTGAAAGTAGTGATGAATGAACTAGTTTCGTCAAGCCTGTAAACTTGTGTGTGATTTCCTCTTGCGTAGGTGTCTTGTGATGGCTTCCTTTTATAGCTTTGTTCAAATCCTTTGGATCTAAGCATAGCGCAGGCTGCCATCCTCCTTCATGGTGCAAACCATGCTGTTGACTCAATCTGTAGGTTCCGACACCTTTTTGATAACTCCTATTTTTTCCATGTCTTCGAGCTGATTTTGAAGTTCTTCCTTTTTATGTAGAGGAAATTTTACCCTCTTTCAGCACTATGTGGTATTTTTCTTGAAAATTCCCAATTTTATCAAACTGTTCCGGGTATGATTTCTTTAAATCATCCACCGACTGGACGGCCACGGTTGTTTGAGGATGCATCTGAGCCTCAGGAATTGTCACCATGACTAGGGCTCTCAGGCTTGGCAGACCCAAAATAATTGGTCCAACTTCTTGGTCCAGAATGTAAAAATCTGTATCGATCCAGTTTTTCTTGTCGAAGGTGCACTTTAATTTGTTCGACCCAAAATGCTTGAGTTTCAAATTGTTCACTGCAATCAAATTCTTCTGACGGTTGTTGGTCAGTTAGGTTTTCGCTTCCCATGAGCGTCTAATAAATCTGGACACATAATTCGAAATGCTCTTCTCGGGAGCAGGTTTGCTCCAGCCCCTGATTGTCATTGAGTCTTGTTGCTGGGGCCCTGACTTTGATAGATCGTAGAGCCTCGCTATCATTACTGTTTGACACCTCTGCTACTCTAACAGAGCCTACTGTGAAATAATCCTCAATGGGGTCATCTTGGCTGAACTCCTACATGGCAGATGTTCTGTTAGCTTTCTTGGGTTTGTCATTGTTGAAATTCCTTTGGACTTTATTTCCGGCTTAATGACTTTGGCTTGTGCCCTTACTCTGGTTTGTTTTTTTTCTTATTTTCTGGTATTGACAGACACATTGTTTGCCAGTGGTTCATCTTGCCATGTATTGCACCTAGTACCATATGGTGGGCAGGATTGTGGGGAGTATTTATTGTGTGCTCGCCCATATTTGTTGCATGGTTTTGATGCCCTTGCAAAATTAGGGTATCCCACAGCATCAACATTTAGGTCATAATTAACTATTTTGGCTCTCATGTCTCTGTTTTCTCTTATGGTTACTTCATAAGATCTGGCAATGTCAATGGCTTTGCTCAACCTTATGTCTTCACCTTCCATAATAAAGCTTCTCTGCAAATCATGACTGTATAATCCATCCATGAATTGCTCAATGACTCTTGCTTCATGTTCTGTCTCAGTAAATTTGCATCTCAGCTTGCGCTCTACATCTATTCAAGAACTCATCACTAGATTCATTTTCTCTCCTTTATGTTATTTTGTTGCTCCATTTGAGGGGAAAAGAATATATTCTGGAGGAGTGTACAACACTAATGCTTACATAAGGGTTAGTACGCATGCAATATATATAGAGGGATGCGTTACTAATATTATACTATAAGGTAGATAGACCACATAATTATAGTAAGATAATTACGTTGGTCATATGGCAACAATAATAATATTAATAACAATAACATTAATGATAATAATATTAATAATATTAATGATAAGATGAAACAATAACATCCGTACCAACAACAAAAACATGCACTATTAAATCTACTTACAACAATACAAATATCAAACCAATAATATCACATTATAATGCTTTCTAAGAGCATTTAACCATAACACAACAAACATGCTCCAAGGCCTCTGAGGCGGAAACAAAACTCTAATCCATGCTTACTTCAAACACATCATAATCCCCGGCTGGTTTGCTCCAGGACAAGGCAATTTCCGTGTCTGAGATGTAACTAGCAGTGATGTTCGACACAGGTTCAGGGTTGAGCTGATCCCGCCGTATGAGGGGCAGGCTGGTCACCCCTCCTGACACTGTCCAGGCCGTGACATTGTACACTCGTCCAGGCACCAGGTTGTTAAATACGATCTGAAATTAACCATCAAATTTACATTAACAATGAAATGGTTACTGCTTGAAGAAAATAAAAATATTATCAATAATAATAATAATAATAATAATAATAATAATAACAATCTTAAGGATATCTATTGTGTGTTTCTAATGTGACATAAACTGTTTCTTAATTCTTGTAAGGAATCACATGACCGATAGACACATGAACATTACCTTGCGATCCTCATCCTCTGCGGGCTTCTCCTTCACAGGTATGGAAGGGTCGGATAACATGAACCTGTACATGTCAAAGGTAGACGCAGATTCGGGCGTTGGTGTATAGATAATGGCCATTGATCTGGTCTCTGGCTGGGGCCAAATTCTAATGTCAGATGTGATAAGGGGTACTGAAAAAAATGGTGCTTTCAGTTTCATAAGAGTGTTAGATTAATATCTCTTGCTGGTATTTTATCCCTCAAGAATTCCACTGATAAGCATTACACATAGGAAAAACTTAAAACATTGTTATTTTCTTTCCTTTTCCTTTTCATTATAAAATATATCACAAAATAGGTAATTGACTTTATAGGTAAGTCATTGAGGCTCTAACTAGGCCAGTCAGAGTGCTGTCGTTTGCTCTTTTTATACCAAGGCTTTCATAAGGAAAAATGAATCATATAGATTGTAAAAATAAATTAATATCTCCATTTTACTCCATGATTTGTTAGATACATCATTTTTCATAACTTTCCTCAGATTCTGGGCATGCATGAATATATGCCAATATGAATTTCTCCAACATCTTCTGGCGGAAACCCTGACACTAGATACTTACTAGTTCTACGTGAGAGCTCCACCACCTCACTATTCACGTCATGTGCTGTGGTATGGATCTGGAAATGGTAAAGCTCTCCAGGCATCAGATCCTCTACCACGATAGACAATCTTCGGTCGATACCTTCCGTCGCATGGCTTCCAGGAATTTCCTTGAGATGCTGATAAAGAAATCAATTTATATATGTATTTGAATTCTGAAGGTCAAAGGATTCCTTAACATGTAGAGAATCTGTATTTCTCTCATATGTATAAATATTTCCAGATTTATAAAGTAAGAGATACTGATACATTTAACAAAAAAACAATCCTATATAAAAAAAAAATTCTAACCTTTATCTCTGGCTTAAAGTTGCTCCACCAGATGATGGTATAGTTATCTAGTCTGCCGTCTGGCCTGGGCCACTCGAACGTGATGTTGTGGGAATTAAGGACCGGAGTGATTCCTGTCACTGGGTTTGGTGCTGGAAGCGAAGGAGTCTTCGGATTAAGTGCTGCTCTTAGCGCCATTGCTATAACTGTTTAGTTCTAAGACATTTCTTTTCCTTTTTTATTACTAAGTGAGGCAAAATACAATCTCCTTATTGATAACAATTACAGTAAGCTTAATAAGTGCTGACAATATAGAAACTGATCAGTCAATCAAGCAACATTAATGAGAAGTAAATATTAACTCAAAGCAGTGAGTGAAATGATACTTAGAGTACATATTCACACACCTGAATCTACCCAGCTTTCCACTTATCAAACATCTATATGCACATAAAGTATCAAGTACACAGAAAAAAGACCTTCTACTTACGAACAGTATGCTCGACTTGCTCAGAGGTGAAGCTTTTTACGTTATGAGAGATGGAATGAACTTCAATCAGATATCGCTCTCCAGGCTGCAGGCTGTCCATGGTAACTGAGGTTTCATTGACAGGAGGCAACTCAATCCAATTTCCTGCATCTACGGGGCGGTACCTGTGCGTAGGAGGAAGTGAGAAGTTACAACATGAATAATGATAATGTTGGATATCTTTCAAAGGATTCATTTCATTCATATTATTATCAATAGTGTAATTATAATCAAACGAAGAGTACGAAATAATAGTAAAAGTATGTTGTTTAATAAATCAGTTTCATATGCTATATATTTAAAATTCGAAAATATATTTTAAAAATTCAGTAGGATATTTTGTGTGAAAGATGGGGGGGGGGGGGTACATGTGCAATGTTTAAATGTAATGCATATATGAAATAGTCCCAAATCATTTTTCCTTCCACAAACCCTTCATACCTCCATACAGAACCGAGAGGACCATAATCAGGCTACTTTGTTTGACCAAAGCATAAGATCATTTTGTATAAAGTCCTGAAGCAGCAGCTACGCCTCATTACAGTAGTAGTGCTCCCCTGCCACCTCCCCATACAGCTAACAAAAAAACAACAACAGACAAATCCTGTTCCTGCAGCATATAACACAGCCTATACAACCACATCATTGCATGCACCCCTTTTTGCCTTCAATTTCATCACCCTAAGAACACTCTTCATTCCATAACTTACTCTGCCTCTGCCATACACTATACCTCATCCTCCAGACTCCCATTCCTTAATACTTGAGGCCCTAAGTACTTCAACTTTTCACATCTTTCAGTACTTTCTTATCCAGCCTTTTTTGCTGCTAATACACCTTATCACATTGCCATTACTCATATTTCCCAACATTTTTTGTCTCATACCCCCCCCCCCCACATTCCCTTGCCCATTGTTGTCGTGGGGGGACTTAGGAGGCAGAGACTAGGACCCAATGATGGGGAACTCCCCAACCTTGGGACTCAGCCCTCGACTCAACTAATTTTGCATGGTCTTTTTTCCACTCCTACTCTTTTGTTTCTGTCCCTTCACCAATCCCTTCTACTATCCACTTCCTAAGGTGTGAGAGCCGTGCTGAAAGGATGAAAGGCTGACTATGTGCCAGTTCTGAACGGCCTGAGGGAGCCATGGGCACCGTATTCCCCTGATTTAGTTACCTAGCCCTTACCCCTTAAGGGGACCCTGAGGGGTGGACTGTTTTTCTCCACAACATACTCCAGGCTTACCATGGCCAATAATGAAGATGTAATCCCACTATTAGGGGCAATGAGGCTTGCCCCTTCATCAGATAGCCCCAACAATTCAAACTCTCCTGATTCCCTGACCCAAGGCTCTCCTTTGACCACGGCTCCGAACACTACAACTACCCTATCCTCAATGCTTACTAGTACAATATCTACCCTAGTCAACACTCTTTACAGCCTTATTGCCCACCATTCCATAACACTACCTCCCTCAACACTACTCCCTCTTCGACACGCCCCCGCCTTTCTACTACCCCTATTTCCACAAATATCTCAAATACTCTATTTAGCCCAGCCAAATCGGACCGATTGTGATCCCTCCCACAGCTCCCTACTCTGACAACACCCTTCTCTTCCAGCAATGTCTCCAAAAGCAAGTAGGCAAAGTCTTTCCGTAGCCGACCCGACCGCTCCTGTCTCGTCACAGTAACATCTGAAAACCAAGCTATAGCATTATCAAATCTAACTGATCTATATGGTAATCCCATCCTTGCAGAACCCCATCCAACCCTCAATACTTGCACCGGAACTGTTTCCATCTCCCCAGCAAATTGCTTAATCTATGACAAAGATTGGTCATATTGTGGAGAAAACTTACTCACCTGTCTCATGGACTATGATGCGACATCAGTACAATGCTACTCCATTCCTCCCAGAGGTCATCGTGAGAAATCTACTAACATTGCCAAAATTACTTTCCATAGACATGACCTTCCCTTTAATGTTTACATAGGTGGAGAATCTACTAAGACCATCAGAGAACATACCCCCATTATCTTCACCCTATCCTCCACTGAGTTCTATTATGCTCCTTTTTCTTCCTCTGAACTCAATGCTGCCCTACAATCGCGACAGTATTCACTACCGTATGCTCCGGCAACTTTCACCTTCCTCCTTATCCTTCCTATTATCAATTTACAACCACATATGGACATCAGGAAATTTTCCTTCCTGAAACCCAACAAATCGAGTACCCTCCTTCAAGACTATCGCCCCATCGCACTAACTAGCTGCTTGTGCAAACTACTAGAGTGAATAGTTAACTTACGCTTAAGGTGGTATCTTGAATCTCACAACCTCCCTCCTTCCCAATTTGGTTTTCGACGTGCCCGAAGCACAGCCGACCCCCTTGCTCATTTTGAAACATATTACATCCGCATTTGCATGCCATGAATCCGTACTAGCTATATTTTTTTATTTAGAAAAAGCATAGGATATGACATGGCGGTACCATATTCTCCAACAATTGTCTCTAGGCATACATGGAAACATGGGTGTCTTCATAAAATCTTTCCTCTCCCAACGCACTTTCCTGGTCAAAATTGCCTCTGCCACATCAACTTTCTTTCCTCAAATCGAAGGAGTCCCACAAGGCAGTGTGCTCAGTACCACTATATTTCTTCTTACTGTTAATGACATTGTCTTAGTTCTACCACCAGGAGCCCGGTCATCACTATATGTTGATGATTTAACCATCTATGCCTCTGGCACACCCATACTAAATCTCTACCAATTTCTTCAATCTCATCAGTATCTTGGGCCACAAACCATGGCTTTTGCCTTTCGACCTCCAAATTTTTCTCCATCCTTTTCTCTTGCACACGTGTAGGTCTCCTACCCCCACTCTTCTTATATGGCACTCCACTCCAATACCGTTCCTCTGGCAAATTCTTAGGCGTCATTTTTGACTCCAAACTGTCCTGGGGAGACCATATTCTTTACATTAAAGAAAAAGCTCTCTGCCGTCTTCGAATCTTGCAAACTCTATCCCATATATCTTAGGGCTCAGGTCGTGACACCGTGCCCTTCTCTCTCTCCAATGTTATGCTCGATTCCACCAACTTCCCCTCACTAAACTAACTATCCCACAATCCCTACTTCCTACCTTTGCTTCATCTCCATGTTTACCTACTCCTTTCTCCATTCGCATGGATACCATTCTCTTCCTTTCCCCTTTTCCCCATCTCTGACCCCTTCCGTTCTCTGTCCATTCTGTCCCTCCATGACTTATACCTTACCCCCATATTTGCTCTTCTGTTTTCCCTAACCCACCAAAATCAAATATTCCTCCTGCTATCCTTCTCACCCATTTCCTTGACCATGTCTCCACTCATTCCTCCAGTATTCACCTATATACTGTTGGCTCCAAATCCACCTCCGGTGCTGGTTTTGTAGTAATCTTTCCAACTCGTACTTTCAAATACTCTCTCCCTCCTGAATCCAGTGTCCTTACTACAGAACTGTATACACTCCTTTTTGCCTTAAAACACATATACTCACTCCCCTCTTCCTCTTTTACAATTTTTACTAACTCCCATAACTCATTAACTCTCATAAAGTCAATACACACCACCAACCCCCTTGTTTGTAAGACCCAGAGCTGGTTATTCTACCTGTCCACACGCCATAAAACAATCAAATTTTGCTGGATTCCCAGCCATGTTGGAATCCCCGACAATATACAGGCAGATATTCAAGCACGTACACCACTATGTCCACATCATACCAACCACGTCTCCCAGCCACGGATTATTACTCACAATTTAAGACCTTGTATAATTGATGGCAATCTTTTTGGTCAAGTCTCTACATACTGTAAAATCTCCTGGTCAGCTCCATTTCATCGGAACAGACGTTCGGCTCTCGCCCGCTTACGCATTGGCCACACCAGTCTAACACACCCCTATCTGATGTCACAATCCGATCCACCCCTATGCTCCTTATGTAATGTTCCTCTTTCAGTCTCACGCATTCTATTGCCATGCCCACGTTTTGAAGCAGCCCGTACCTCTGCTTTCCCCCACCTATCCTCCCTTCACCGACCTCCCAACCTATCAGACATCCTCACAGAATCTCACTTTCTGCTTCGACAACCTGTTTTCCTTCCTCGAACGCATATCCTTCATTTAATCTAACCCGTTTACATTACCTCACCCGACCTTAACCCATTCATTCACCAATTTCTTTGCCAAGTTTTGACAACTAATCACTAACTCAGCCACCTTTCACTAACATTTACTATAGTGCTACATGACCTTAGATGTCTAGCACATTTATTTTGCTTTTAACCATTAACCATTTTGTCTCATACATACTCTCTGTGTCTATAGGAAAAAGGAATTGGTTCAGCTCTAAAATTTGCCTAACCTATAAGCTTTAACCTTCCTAAAACTTTTTATATTTATCTCCCTTCCTACTCCATACAAACCAATACAAATACAGTAAATAGCCCTACCATAGCCTTGAATCGAGTGATCTCCCCTAATACTAAAGCTGCTGGATTACATGTCAGGAACTCTTTACCGCGACCACCAACCTTATACTGTAATGTGAGAATAACGACTCATTTGGAGGCAGCCAAGAAAGGACCACAGTGGTATTTGTGGCGGAGCTAATAGTCAGGTTTCGAATGGGGTTTGGATCTGTAATGAAAAATAAAATTAACGTAATTCATTAGACATGAGCATGGTTTATGCCCGTGACTCCACTGAATGGAAATAAACCAGTGCTCTTGTGGCTTTCGCAGTACCAAGCCTCACAGATTGGCTGACATTAAATTGTATATACAATGACAAGAACAAAATTATTTACTATAAAGAGTATTGTACACAAGACAAGTCTGAAGTGTTAGTACGAACTGCATCACACAACAAAGCATCTGGACTTACACACTACATGGAAGTGGGCATGAGGATCGCTCCACAGACCATGAGATATAGCATAGACCTTAATCTCATATCTGGCACCAGGGAACAGGTCTTCCAACACTATTTGTTCCTCCACTGTTTTATGGGTAACTGACTCTCCTGAGGGTTGAAGAAAAATAATTAATAGAAAATAAAAAAAAACACAATAGATATCAATTCTGAATTTGTGTTGCAGCTGAAAAAAAATACAGTTTCAAGTCTTTTGTCTTTCTTTATAATTGTTTCTAATCACCTAACTTAAGAGATCTCCTTAAGTGATAACATGATCTTGTTTCAATTATATATTTTCAGACTTGTTGAAGATTTAATTTGTTAGCCATAGGTCCTCCTCATTTCCTATAATCTGATGACAAGGACATTAGCTAGAGCCATCATTACCTGTGTCGTTCCTAATGTGAACGACAGCATATCCATCCTGACGAGAAGTATCATCACTCTTCCAGGATATGTCGAGGCCGTGGGGAATCGGCTGCATTTCAATGATTGGGGTTGTAGGTTCTGTGGGAAAAAATGGTTGTTAGATTGAATTATTTTTGAAAATGATTGTATATATACACACAGGCCTTACTAATCTTCATTTAAATAACTATAGTGTATACTACAGCATTACATGAATAATATCAAGAATCATAACAATATGCACTTACTAGTAGCAACATAGAGAGACATGTGTTCACTCTCTATGTTATTTGACACAGCAGCCACAGAAACTGAGTAATTTCTTCCAGGATAAAGACTTTCTATGACCATTTCTTCTGTGGTTGTCCTAGTGCGTGCATCCCCGTTAAAAGCTTCTACCTCCTGGAACAATATCTAAAAGGAGGAGATCACGATACATTAATCTCCATAGTAAATTGTAGGGAGTAAAAATGCTTGCTGGAAAAATAGAGAAAAAAAAACATAATGATACGATTTTGGACATATTTGCCATTTCTACAAACGTACCACAGTACGGAACCAGTACTAACATCTTATTATTTCTTTTTTATATATTTCACAGGCACTAAGAACAGATGGACACCTAAGCTCTTACCTTATAGCTGTCTTGAATTGAAGTTGGATCTGGCGTCCACGTCATGTTGACTTCTTGGCCAAACTCATCGTCCTCTCTTCTCAGATCCAAAATTTTTAGTGGACCTGAGGACAAAAAAAACATGTTAAGAAATGAAATAACAAGATATACAAAGAAACTTCGAGTTCCTCATCAACTGAGGCTGAGGAGGACTAGCTATTAAAAAAAAGATAATAATAATGAAGTTACTAATGCCCTGACATGATCATTAAAGGGGGCATAATTTGGGATGAGGACAGACTATGTGACGTGAATGTAACCAGGTCAGGTTACATCCAGTCAGATTAGGTCAGGTAGGTTACGTTGTTAGGGCAGGATAAGTCGGGACAAGAAAGGGCAGATCAGAACAGGAGAGGAGAGGACAAGATAGGAAACGACAATAAAGGACAGGGCAGGAGAGGAGAGGACAAGGTAGGAAACGACAATAAAGGACAGGGCAGGAGAGGAGAGGACAAGGTAGGAAAAGCTAGGACTGATGGGATTCACATATGCAGACTGGGTGAGCTTAGGGAGGTTAAGCCGTGGGTATGTCATAGCACACAGAATAAAACTTAGAATGTGCAAGAGGAAGCATTTCGATATCTATGAATTCATAACTTCCAACCATTCACATACGGATCCCAAATTGATGTCAAGAATAAGTTCTTCTCTCAAAGAATTATAAACATGCATAAAACGGCTTTCAAGGGGAATATGTACTCCAAAATACCCAAACTGATAAAAAAAAAACTTGAAAAGTAACGCACCAGAAAATGACACCCAACAAAACCACCAGGAATAACTTATCCCTCATTAACCTGTAACAAAATGTACCTTCGCTCCCGGTCCATCAGTCACAAGCAAGGTCAAGTCACGAGCAACCCCACTGCCGTGACTGGCTCCCATTACTCTCTCTCACTCGCACTCTCACTCGCACTATCACTCGCACTCTCACACTCACTCGCACTCTCACTCTCACTCGCACTCTCACTCGCACTCGCACTCTAACTGTCACTCTCACTCGCACTCTCACTCGCACTCTCACTCTCACTCGCACTCGCACTCGCACTCGCACTCGCACTCGCACTCGCACTCGCACTCTCACTCTCACTCTCACTCGCACTCTCACTCTCACTCTCATTCTCACCCTCACCCTCACTCTCACTAGGCTATTGCAAAGCCAGTGACAGTCATCCTAAATTTTTACGATCAGGGAAGGCAATAACTCTCTCCGGGTACTTTAAGAATCCTTGGGCCTTCTAGCGGCACTTTCTCGCCATTGCTCTCTAACAGTGGCCATGCATGCTCACAGACTGTAAATATATTGTCGATAACGGAATGGAGTGGACGAGGAGGATCTTTGGGGGGGAGGAATGAGGACTTAGGACCCTATACATGTATTTCGACATGGCAACGAGGCAGCTGGAACGAATTCCCGAACAGCTATGATAAAGAGTGCGCTTTGTCATCCATGTAACGCGCCTCAATTCTGTTAGTAAAGGGCCTCTCTCTGCCTCGTTGGATAACGCGATTCTGTGCGCACGCACACGCGCACACGCACACGCACACGTACACGCACACGCACATGCACACATACATGCGCACACGCACACACACTCATACACACACACACATACGAACACAAACACTTATACTCACACACACACACACACGTAAACTAACACAGACGCGCACAATTTCCCCCACTAACGTTGACCCGATTGTGTCGAAACCCATATCAGTTATAAATGTGCAGGCGAGTCCTTCCTCTGCGTTGACACCAAACTCCAATGCAAGATATTCTCATGCTCACCCCGCAGAAATGTCGCTCAAACAGGAAATATCGAACGAGAAGAAATCGGGTTTTTCTTAAATGTTTGTCTGCGGGGCAGCGCGACAATACCATGGCGCTGATACTGCTTTAATTGGAATAAAATCAGAGAGAGAGAGAGAGAGAGAGAGAGAGAGAGAGAGAGAGAGAGAGAGAGAGAGAGAGAGAGAGAGAGAGAGAGAGAGAGAGAGAGAGAGAGAGAGAGAGAGAGAGAGAGAGAGAGAGAGAGAGAGAGAGAGAGAGAGAGAGAGAGAGAGAGAGAGAGAGAGGTCTCGGTCAGACAGACAGATTGATAGATAAACTGACGGACAAACAGAAGTAACGACAGACACCGTCATATACACAATCAGACCCATGCCACGCAGACAGACAGACCGACAGCAACTCACGCGTGGTGACATTCCCTTTGGCGGGCCAGGAGGCTACGTTCCCCGACACCGTCTTGACGAAGACCTGGTAGGTGGCCCCGGGCTCCAGGTTCGTGTCGAAGGTGGCCTGGCGGGGCTCGGAGGCGCTGATGATGAGGGGGAAGTGCTTCTTCTGGTCGAGGCTCAGCTGGTACCGGTCGAATTTG